AAGTAATAACAGCTAATAATTGTATTGATGAATAAGCACCAGGCATATATTTCATTGGTGTCACTGACAGTATTGGTATCAATAGATTACCTCACCTTGGGGTTTGTTGGCTTTGTGTTTACAGAGATCTGCCTTCCATTTCCCTGTCAAGTGAAGTGTGTGGTAATGTGATGAACGTTTAACCCCGGCCTCTCATGACGGTATAATGTATACGAGGCCTTTGATGTCTTGCCGTATTAGGGTCAGCAGCACATCTTATTAACTGTGAATTAACTAAGGGACAATGTGCCATACATCCCTAGCTTACATTTGGCCTATTTATTTTCTTGTCGTCTAGTGTGCAATTTTAATTTTAACTGGGACATAAAGAAATGTGTTTGTTTTTTTGTAAGTTTGTATATCACATTATTGTGTAACTGCTTCCACGTGTCTTTAGAAACTACTGTAGGTTCAGTTTGCGTAGAGTCGCTTTAGATTTAGTGCGTTGCTAACACATAAGGTTTCATTAACCCTACCTAGAGTATTTTTGTTGCCACACAGATTCTCAGTGTTCTGTAGTGTTAGATATGTGTAGATGTTAGATAGGTAAGTTTATTTCAAATCACAAGAAGGTCAACTGAGAAGGAGCTGTAGGAAAACAATAGTTTCAGAAACAATAATCTAGCCATCCACACAGTTTCTTGCCAGTGTCCAATCAAACTGCTTTTCACAATTTGATTAGCATTATAAAACATGATTTTAGAGGTTAAACTGTTCACATGTAAAGCCTGATTGGACTGTAACCACAAATTAGTCAAATACAAAGGAGATATTTGTTTGAAAGGGATTCAGAAAGACATTTGAGTTCTCATTTTAGTGCCAATTGATGCCTGGCGGCGTCAGTGGAGTTTTGATGGAAACTTTTCAAAGGGTTTGCACCCTTCAAAACTATGTCCAACAGCTGATTTCAGTGTAAAGAGTGTCTAGAGGGAGGTGAAGCTTTGGGGAACTGCAATTATTTTCAGGTTGGTTGAGAGAAACAAAAGGATTTAATATAGAGGGGCTGATTTGTGATGCGGTGATGCTGAAGATTCGAGGATATAATGAAAGTGATGATGAATTAAGTTTACACTTATATTCATTTACATGAATGAATAAGAATATCAGTGCCTACTTTTACAAACCAATGTCTTTAAATAAAAATAAGTACACCTCCTGTTTACATATATCACCATGCAGACCTAAAGCACTACAGAGGAAATTAATGTAGTTTTGACTATATAAAAAGCTTCCTTTCAAGGAACCTTGGTATAGGGATTGTGAAATATTTGTGTGTACTGTATTTCTAGCCTTATAAAAGCTGGTTTACTATATTTCATACTGTAACATACTTTATGTGCCTTTAAAAAGATTTAAATCATTAATAAAAGTATCAGGCCTTGTAGGCCATTTAAAATTTGGGAAAGACATGTGGGTAGAGGCTCAGAGTTGGAGCAGTATACGTGTGCATGTGGTAACTGTGATGCTCAGTAAGTTTAATGCAGGTTCAAGATGTGACAAAGGACAAGAAAATGATACAGTTCCTCTATTAACAGTTTGAACTGGCATGGTGGGCGTTCACTTCAAATGCAGTTTGCTGAGTTGGAGGCATGGGCTGAAACAGCATTTCCAGCTGGCAATAACAATCCTACTGTGGTCTGTTGTCATGGAATATCAACAAAGATGTTATTTCTCAGATGGTCCTCACAACAGAATGGAGTCGCACATGAAACTGTGGACCTCAATCTTTGTATTTTTAATCTATTGTAGTTATGTTTGTCCAAGGAACCATGGGTTTTGTTGAGAAATATACATGGTCACTTGCCTTAGTGGGACAGTTTGCAGTTGCTCATAATGGTACCTTACAGTTTGGGGAAATGTAACTAAATTCCATCTATAAAGTTAAAGGGGCACTCCAGTGATTTAGTAATACAGTTCCACAAAATCAATGCCTGAGATGTCCTTATTTTTTGTCCAAAAATGCTGGATCGTACGCTCTTGTCTCAGTCTCAGACAAAGCTCCACCAAAGCTACAGAAGACATACAACTGTTTTCACTGTCAGAGTAGAACGAGCAAACTGAACTTCATGAGTAAAACTGGTGGAGTGCCCCTTTAAAAGAAGGAAGCTGTGCATTTACACTACCACAAGTTAAAGATAGCGTCTTTACATAAGAATCTTAGTGTCCACATGAGGCAGTAGCGAGATGGATACCAATGATGCCTTACGAACTAACCTCACAAAAAAGTAACAATGTTATTGTTATTGTATTATTCACAGAGTTCTGGCTGAATAGAAATGAGTAATCCTGTTAAGAGTATTATTCCGCCCAGAGACATGTTATGAAGAGGCCATTTTAAATGGCAAATCAAGAGCCAATGGAAGCAGTTGATACAATACATTTGCAAAAAAGAAATCTCTGCTTTCAGACGTAATGTCTTGAATTACATATACTTGACTTTTCTAGTACCTTTTCAGTTCAAATTTGTTATTTTCTATGAATGAGATGTGTATTTTGGATCACTTAATAGATGTTGAAAATTTTAAAGCAATCTGCAAAAACTCTTGAGTTATTTCCCTAACAAAGACAGACTGTTTTATGTATATATTTGATGGCCATCATTTTAAGGATAGGAGCTCTTTTAAAGTGTTATGCAATATTGAAGCTTTTATGTGTGAAGAAGGGCCTATTGCTGAGAAATAAACAAAGCTGGGAGTTTTTTTCTTTCTTTATGTTTTACAATAATCTGAGGGGTTATCCTGCAGAAATATTTATGGAAAGATTTTTTACAACACTTTTTGTATAGAATATGCAACAAAGTTACACTAAGAAGGAAATATTGATGTCTACATAGAATACTATTAAAGAAAAGTTGGTACATAATTAATACCCTTTCGCAATTATAAGCCATTGTATTTCTGTGTTTTGTTTTATGATGTTATCAGTGTTGAATAACCCACAATGTTATTCAGTTGCTACATGTAACTAATTACGAGCTGCCATTTACATCCATACAGTCGCACGTATTCATTTTGTAAACAATATTATGAAGATATATTGTGTTAACATGCAGAAACCTTTTTTTCTTAAGTAGTGATGGATACTCACCACTGTACAAGCACATTAAACTGTGAGATGTAGTTTGCTTAAAGCAGCAATGACAAGAAACTATTATAAAATGTTAGTGTTATTAGTAGCTTAGGGAGTGTATACTTTTGTCAATAAAGTGTGTGTGACAAAGAACTATTTTAGAGTTTGCATGTGCATGTGTTTGGTTTGGGATGAAATATTATTTTGTGCAATGTATACTTATTTAAATACTTTACAGTAGTTTGCTACAGTACATATTGTTTTTAACATTATCAGCAACTCCTGATTGTTATTAGTCCTGAAGTATTTCATTTACAGCTAGTGTAGCCTCTATGAATAATACATATTTACTGAATGTATTGTGTTAACACTTATGTGGTCAATTTGGAAAGTTATGTTTGTATTATTTACTGTCTGTATCACTTGAGATGTTTGTAATGCAGTATTGCAATAATGTAATATTTGAAATTGGACAGAACACAGGCGTGAGGTAGGGAAGACGATGATTTTGGGAAACAAGGACAGTCATGGTTTCGAGAGTAGACCACAGGTCTGTTTTTCATGTCCATGAAACGGCATTCCAAAATGTGCCTTATTTAGTAGTTGGGAAAACATTTTAGTGCTTTAGTGCTGTCAAAGTTTGATGAATAAAAGTCATATTGAAGTAGGACTGCCTGGATTATGTGGTTTCATTTGTTTGGGTCCTTTGCTGAATTGTTTTTACCAGTAACTGGGAGGTGTTCACTGTGGAGTTTGATTTCAGCCAAAAGCAACACATTGTTTTCTGAGAGCTCCTGTCTGTATAATGTACATTACAGAGAGTGTATGTTTTAATTGCCACACTGTACAGTCTTTGAGTGCAAGCTTTAAGTCTTACACAAGACCAAAGGGTACAGATTATGATAAAGAGGTTTTTAATGGATTATTGATGGTCGTTGTGTAAAGCAGTAGAAACTCTTTTTTTCACTTTCCTGTGAAAGTGCTGAAAGATAACACACACCATGAGTTGACAGGACTTAATTTCAACACTTTGAGTCACAGTGTGGACAGGAAAACCAAAACACACACACAGACTATAGGACACGAACTGACACAGGTGCTGTGTAATAAATGTAGACATTTACAGCCGAAGAACCAGTCTGTACCGGCTGTAAAGATGTCATTGTTTTGCATGTGTATTAAATGTTGGCCACAGCACTGCTGTCTTTTTCGAGCCAAGTTTCCATGCACAATATTGGACGTGCATTCCAAATAACTAAAACTAAACCAGAGGGTGGGGACCCAAATTATATCAAGTTTGTTACAACATTTCTAGCTCAAACAGAGTGAGAGCTGAAAAGTCTCTATAGCAACAATGTAATATGAGATTTCAAACAAACGGTGGAAGGTCAGTGTGCATATGGTTTCATTTAGGAGCAAGAGCTGCTTTTTCTCGTCGCTTCATTATTTACTTTCATAAAGTATTAGCTCGATAAGCAGCACCACCCAGTCTCTGGCTTTCAGACATGTCCTGGCCTCCTTTTTTCTCTCTCTCTGTCTCTCTCTTCCAGACGTTCTGTGTTTCAAATAAAGACGCAGTGAAGGAAGAGCAGCCCACATACAAGCTGAAGACATTTTCAGGTTCTTCTATGGTTCCAGCAGATTAAATCATCTGCCCTCACTGTGTCCAGTGAGGCTAAAGCCCGCAGGTCTATCATCTGTCAACTGCATTCATGTGATATTTCAGCTCTACTGTAGGTGGATGTCACATGATGTCACATCCTGCTCTCATAGGCAGGAAGTAAGTTGTGCTGGGAGCCGGTGTCTAAAAAAAGCTACTGGATCATTTCCAGGAAGCTTTAAAACCAGCGAGGCTGGTAGCACAAGAGAGCAAATGTCCTATACTAAGCTAGTAAAATCTGAAAATGGTCATTTATTTGGCAGTAAATGGAGAGTAACTACACAATAACATCAATTTACAAAGTGGATGACAAAGAACTAAAGTAGAAGAAGAAAGAAAAGTACACAAAGTAGATGGCCCAAGTTAAAAAGAGAGAAAGCAGGATATCTGCCACAACTAACATAAAAATGTATCAATGCAACTCCCAGTCTTTCCATTATTAATATCATTTATAAACAATCACACAATATAAACATTTCATACCTCATTTTGGGCAAGAAATATATCTATATATAAATAAATCCATGGATCAATTAACATCATAATCAACTGTGAAAATAACAGATTTTAGGGGAAACAGCTCCTCCTCAAAAGTATAATGAATACAGAGCAAAAGATAAAGTAAGCAGTAAATGGTTGCATACTGAGTCTTCCGACAGAAGTCCATGTGTAATCTCCGGTGTTATTTGATCTCCCCACAGTCAATGATGACAATTTTCTTGATCACACCGCCGTCATGTAAACCAAAGGACTCCATCTTGGTGACCACATCCATACCTTCCCTCACCTGCCCAAACACCACGTGTTTCCCATCAAGCCTGTCAAAGGAGAGATGAAAAGTGACTTCAGCAGCTGGTAAGTGATTAGATTGGGATGCGGTGAGATGACTGGTTAAAAAGTTGTATTATAGAGTATTTACCATTCAGTTTTAGTCGTGCATATGAAGAACTGGGAGCCGTTGGTGTTTGGTCCTGAATTTGCCATTGAAAGAGTTCCTGCAGAGATCGAAAAACCAACAAGTAATTTAAATGTGATGCTGTTAACAAGATCTTCACCTCCTTAAATCACTGACCCAGTAACATTTAGGTCTGACTGTAGCAAAAGAGAAGCATGACATATGTCAACATCTGTGTTATGTGAAGGCCTGTTTCTCTTTTCTGAACCTCATGCAAACTATGATTATGCAACACATAAAAATGAAGCAACAAAACAATCAGCATGTGGGTGAAGTTTACTCAAGAGAGGAGTTATTTTGATTAGTGCATGTTGACTTGCTAAAAAAGTAGGTCATTCACCTTGAAAAATCTATATAGAATGTGATTTTAGCACTGCATGAAATTAGGCACTGCCATCTAGTGGAGAGGCAGCTATATTAAAATACAGACAAAAAACTCTCAAATGACACTATTAGGAAGCAACCAGTGTAAGAAATGTCATAATATACACAAGATAAGAACTGCAGTTGTCCTTAATGATTCTTTCGTTGATGTTTTTTTTTTTTGACTGACTAATCATTCACTCTTCAAAATGTCAGAAAATATGTAAACTGTTCCAAATCTCCACATTTGAGTTAGTGGAACCGGATAATACTAATACTACTTGACAAATGATTAAAAAAATTATAATTCATAATCAAAATTGTAGATTATTTTTCTGTTGACCTGCTATTTGATTAATTGACTAAATGTTTCAGCAATGTACTCAAGTATCACAGTAACATAGATACACCATACAGACAACTATCCAATTAGCAGTGTTTTTGTCTAGTACTTTATGCACCGTGGATGGATAAAGCATAATTTGTTTTGTCCTCTAAACAGAGATGAAGCAGGAGGTGTACCTGGACCAGTGTGTTTTAACTTGAAGTTCTCATCTTTGAACGTATTCCCATATATAGATTTCCCCCCTGTGCCGTTGTGTTTGGTGAAATCCCCACCCTGTAAGAGAAAACACAGCAACAGACAGCATGGCAAACACTCTGTACATGTAAACCATCTTTACTGTAAATCTTACCTGGCACATGAACCCAGGTATGACCCTGTGAAACACAGATCCCTTGAATCCAAAGCCATGTTCCCCAATGCAGAGTGCTCTGAAGTTCTCTGTGAAATTAGTCGTCTTTTTAAAAATAAATATTAAAACAAGTCATAAGTGTTATACTTTAAATAATGAATACAACAAATGTAACTCTTAATATTCAGCAGCTATGTTTAAAGAAACAAGGGTAAACATAACATTACCTGCAGTCTTTGGCACTACATCTGCATTCAACTGCAAGATAATACAAATAACATTCAAATTCATGAATGTTTATACCTCCCAATGCGCTGCCGCCGTTATCTGTAAATATTTGAGTAACGTTACTGCGACATGCTGTGGGAGACACACTGCAGGAGTGGCTAGCGCTAACTAGCTATAGCTACCTCAATGATTACTCTTCCAAGAGGCTCACTGTCTGCCTCGATGTCCAGAAACACGACTGGGTTCTTGGCGGGACCGGAGGAAAACAGCCTCGCAGCGGCGACAACCAGCGAGCTGTATCTCATGCGTTTTTTTATTTTCAACATGGCTGCTCAGCTGACAGGGAGAGGACACTGCTGGTGTGTAAAGAGGGGGAGAGGAGGACAGGGGCACCAAGCAGGCCATGGGTACTGGACGGTGTTTACACGTGACGTCACACAGACAGACAGCGGTGAAACCAGCAGCGACACCACGTGGCAGGTTTAGGAAGTAAAACAACTTTATCTGGGTTGACCTGACGTAAATATATATCTCATACAAGGTCAACTTTCTAGTTGTTGTCTAGGAGTTTCTCAGTTTGTCAGAATGTATAGGTGGTTAACATGTCGCCGTAATAACAACTAAACCATCTCCATGGCATCTGAGGAACTCCATCCAGGAAGGCCAAGAGATGTGATTGAAAGGTCTGGAAACACCAAGTAAGCAAACCTTGTCTGAGATTTTATTGCTCACAAATTTGCAAAGGTTATTAGGCTATCTTGTGAACACAAGTTAATTATCTTGTGGAAACAAGTTGTTATCTTGTGCATATGAAATAATGTGTTCCTGCAAGTTATTATTTGGATGATGGCTATCGCTTGTAAATTTTACAGTGCTTTTCTACATCAGTCATATTTACATTTCAAAGAGTGGGCACCGAAATTGAACTTCTCCATTCTGATATCATTTGCATTTGTGCAATTGGCATTGCTTTAACCTACTCACTGTTATGAAAAACAACTCAACTTTTAAACACTCATTTGACCAAAAGGTCTGTGCAAAACCTCTTTTTCTGGTGTTCAGTTTAGCTTTGATGTTGCCTACCCCAAAACATAACAATATAAAACTGCAGATGCATGATTCTTTTTAATATTTACAGACCAAAATGAGGTGTGTAATGATAATGTAAATAAAATATCAGGATTTTCAGTTGCTCCTAAATATTATCCTATTACTGATTGTCACGAGGTGTTGCAAAAGTTTTAACCAAGAGGGAACTTTATTATCAGCATTAATAGTGTCAGTATTGTGATCTCAGTTACATTGAACTGATTCGGCCAATATAATAGCGTAAGTAAGCTTAAGTTTTGTTTGTCTGGAACACTGAACACTTCTTGGATCATTCTCAAATTGCTCAGAGGCCCACAGTAAGTTTTACAGCTCCACTTTGTAACTCACTAATTAACTGAGAAAAAATCTGCTGATTATTTGCTACTGTTACTGAATCAATCTACTTTCTGTCAGTTTAATTTCCACTTACAGGATAAGAGATAACATGTTGCTTTTCTACATTTAACAATGCCTTTTTGCTAATAGCTTATGAATGAACTAATTATTAAGGTGGTAATAGGCTTTTTTCACAGCAGACATTTTAAGCTGTCACAGGTGTTATTGATAACATTAATGATGCCAGTATGCACAATACTACGACCCTGAAACTAAAGTCGCTAAATGGCATTCAGCCATCATTTACATTTGTGCTTTTCCTGTGACGTGTCAAAATGTCCTCAGTGAAAAAGGCCTATTAGTTATGCAGTGCTATTCCAGCTGGTGAAAAAAAAAACAAATTTTATGTCTATATTGTTTATTAACAGAGATTGGAGATCTATGGATTGTGTAGCACAAAATTACAATCCTTTTTATTTTTATTTTTGTGCAATATGTAATGGTTTAATACATGCTGGTTGCACTTTGTATGCCAAAAGACACAGAGGCCATTAATTGTGTTTCATCTGAATACATATTTATTAGATAAATATTAGGATGTCACGTCATCTAACTACATACAGATTTGCAAGACTAAAAATCACAATGTTTTTCTGACCAGTTTAGAATATGAAATGATTGTACATAGAATGTACAAAACCAAAGAGACAACTGCCGCTTGTTGGGCCAATCACTTTGAGATTGTACCTTTTATAGCATATTTTGCCAAATTGCATAAAAATGATAAATCTGACAATTTTTTTTTTTTTTTTACAAACTGTAAATTTGCAAACAACCCTTATGAGCCACTCAAAGCTCAATGTCTCCAAGTCCCAATTATACCTCCAAAGGTTTGAATAATTTTGTAGCACCTTTATAAAGTACACAGGTAATAGAGAAATACACAGAAGTTTAATATTACACAAAGGAAAATGTCTTTTTTTTCTCGGAAACCCCACGTGGAGGGGTACATAAAGTATCTTACATTAATGAACAGGCGTGGTTAGAGAGGTCTGCACAGACGCAATCGAACACAGACTCATTTTGCCAATTCAATGTCTGACAGGAGGATGGAAGCTTTACAAATTCTAAATACACTATGCACACTCCCCCTGGAGAAAATGAATACATTTCTGTTAATGTGTCTCTATTTGTCATTTACATTATATACATGTATCCCTTACATCCCCAACCCCAACCCTCTGCCACAACCTCCCCATGTAATGCAAAATTCATTTTACAATATTAATTGCATTCTCTTTTAAATCCTCAACTCAATTTCCGGTGTCTGCAATCAGACAGTAGAATTTGTGTTTCTCAGATTACTAGACGTGATTTTGTGAAAGGTTATGGTTACACCTTTTGTAGGGAGATAAAACATCCCAATGCGGCAGTGCATTGTCTTTCACAAACATAGAAACAAACACAAACAACATCTGATCCTTCAATTGTGTTATATGCAGGCGATTTGATCTATTTTGAAGATCAGTAAAGCCATATTTGGTTCTTTAAACAGATTACAACTCTCAAATGGGGGAACTTGTATCCAACGACATACAGTATATTTTAAATTCAATGACTGTACTGCATAAAACTGTGTAAACCAAATTATACCTGTCATAAAAACATGGGACAAAAATAATAACTTAAAACTTGAAACAATATAAAATGTGATGAAAATACACAAATCAGGTTCACATATTTTTGCTAAGTATGGTAATCAAAAGCTCATCACCAGGCCTAAAAACAATCTAGAGGACATTTTGCACATTCTCACTTTAAATAAAGGACGAGGTCACTTGTTCCAATAATATTAAACAAATCATTTTTAGAGAAATTTGGACCTCTAAGCAACAATCTTTTAGACAGAAACTCCCCCCAGCTTGTTTAAAGCTCCTTGATTTATATTATATATTATATATTATATATATATATATATATATATATATATAAATAAAAGGGGGGAAACTCTTAAAACTTGCCAGCTGAGCAATTCAAATATTCATTTTCACTGACGCAATGTCACAGGGTAATGGAAAAACTGTACACAATACACAGGTACTCAATACAAGGCCAGAGAGTGCATTTGGATCAATTCATTACAATATTGGACTGGTTATAAGGGATTCTGTGTCAGTTTGTGAGTGTGTGTAGTCCTTGACAGACATACAGTACCGTGTAGTTCCCAGTAAAATAGGCACAGTACAAAGTATTCACAAAGGGTATATACAACAGCTCTGGAAACACTGTTGGATCATGCAGGATGTTTTCCCCAAAAAAGATGCAGTTCAACAGTAACAAAACGACAAAAGGAAAGATCAGTACAATCACACAGATGTTTCTATAAAATACAGTGATTTAAAAACTTCTGTAGACATCTGTTGCATGTTGAAATCCTGCTCTTACACCAACATAATATCCAGGCCCAACCCCTTACAAAAAGCATAGGACAACTTTGGTGATGTGTATCTGATTATTTTCAATGTGGGACAATGAATAACAAAAATATAAAAATAAAACACATGAAAGAGGACAACAATAATTAAAAAAAACGATGGGTTTGAAATAAAATAATAAATATAAAGATGATAGAAAATGATTTGATCAAGCAGTTTAGGCTGGACAAAGACAACAGGAGCCATTGGCACACATGCACAAAATGGTGCTGAATCTGATGAGGAAGAGTGAAACATTACAATAAATACACAAGAAGAACTGCGGACTGGCTGGAGAAGAACTGAGACAGCTCTTGAAGTGGATTGTTTTATGTTTCTTCCATTCAATATTTTTCTTCCCTCCTCCGTCTCAAACTTTCGCTCCCCCGCTGTCTTTCACACACGCTCGCAGGCAAACAAATGAGGACACGTAAACACACACACACACAGGTATATATACACACACTCACACACACTACATTGCACAACGTGCGCTTGTTTCCTCTGTTGATACTGGAGGACATTTTAGCTCGTCCTTTCAGCACTCTGATTCTGATGAGTTCCAGTAATTCAACTGTCACACACACACACACACACACACACACACACAGACATCTGAGGGTCAAAGGGCATGGCATGTACCAAAGTTTTGGAAGAACACATTTCAAATAGGTTAAAAACTCTTACAAGACAATGTTTTTTTCACAAATGGAAAATTATAATAAAAAAAAACAAAGCTACAACACTTCTCTGCCTCTCCTCCGTGTTGTTTACACATGATGATTATAGCTGCACAGTTTTCAGTTGAAAAGTCACAAATATCATATATGTATATACATAATATCACTTTAGTGCCCGCCTACATGGCTGTAAATGGTGTGTTTCGAGTCAGGTGGTGGAACTGGTGCGTGGAATCTTTACACGAGGAAAAAAGGGAGTGTGGGGGACGTGTGGCGTTCCTGCTTTCTCTCTTGGAGTCCTCAAACAGGTGCCTCATTTCAGCCGTGCTCCTATGCCACACATTATCTGTCAAGAGACTGTGTATGTGTGTGTGTGTGCGAGCATAGGTAGCTGCTTGGAGTGTCAGTGAAGTGCCTGTGGACGGACAGTCAAACACAATCATGACGACTCCTGTAGGTGCAGGAGGGTTTGTTGGGGAGGCGAGGGGCTAGTTGTTCTCGAAGAGGGAGAGAAGGTCGTCGTTGCTGTTGGCGGGAAGGTCGGGGGGGTCCAGGTATGATAGTAACTCATCTGGGTTGGCCAGCTCTGGAAGCAGCTGTGGATAAAAGGCAGAAAGAGGCCCTGAGTGGCAAGGCTAAATAACATTTAACAGCTTTGAATCATGCTCAAGTGTCTGTTGAAGCCAGTGTACACATAAGCACAGCTACCTGCTGCTCAGAAGCAATTTGAGAGTCAAACACAAACAGAGCACACAGCAAAGAGATGAGAGCAGCAGCAGCAGACAATTAGCTGTTAACAGGTAGCTCACGGTGCCCAAAAGCAGGCACACTTACATCCAGGGAGGGTTCGGGCATATCCTGGGCTCCCTGACCCATCTGGCCGTCTGAGGAGGGGTTAAAGTTCAGATCGCTGTGGGGGTGACTGTTCTGCCCAGGCTGCTGAGGCTGCTGCTGAGGCTGCTGCTGAGGCTGCGACTGGCGAGACGGCTGCGATGACTGGCCACTGTGATGCAAGGGCTGCACTGACTGGCCACTGTGATGCAAGGGCGGCCCTGACTGGCCACTGTGATGCAAGGGCGGCCCTGTTTGGCTGCCAGGGTGGGGAGACGCATGCAAGATCTGCTGCATGGAGTTATGGGACTGATCGGGATGGGACATCTGAAGGTGTGAGAGGGAGACAGAAAGCGAGAGAGGAGACGGAGAGTGAAAAATAAGGAAGAAGATATAGTGAGAGAGACAGATAGGGAAGGAGAGAGTGTTAAGGGGGGGGAGGTGCGTGGGAAGAAAGAGAGGAAAAGCGAAATGAGTTCCAGCATGAATAATATGAAACAGGCCTTCTGAATGGAAGCTGTGATCAGCAGACATGTACAGCTGCAACATTATACGGTGACATGAGCATGTGAGTATGACTGAGCACACATGCTGGCTAGAGGCACAAGCTGCACCTTGGTCAGATAACAAATCTGAGCCAGTTTTTTTCAGTACGGCACAGACCGTCTTCTACAAACTGAGGTACCAAATTATGCCACGGGACAAAATACTTTAGTACATAAACATAAAACTCAGGCCAAACATTACTCTAATTTAAGCCAACTAGATTGCATAGTGATATACTATTCATTCAAACATGCTTTATTTGTACAGTGGCACAGGAAAGCAAACAGCCCTGAAAGTCAGTCCTTCTTACTGCATCATTCATGCCGTGGTGAAGCGGCTTGTCCTGGGAGAGGATTCCACCAGGTCCATCTGGGGGGTGGGAGAGCTGGGGGCCGTGGATGAAGTCATTCATAGGGGGACCTCCTCCACCACCAGAGGGGTTCCCGTGAGGGAAGTCAAAGTTCCCCTGGCTGTGGTAACTGTTGCCTTGAAGGACAACAGAACAAACAGATTTTGTCAAGACGCTAACTGCATTTTGGCCTTGCTGACTTGTTTAATGAATCCTTACTGTTGCAAAAAGTTTTCTTTTCAAAGTGGTTGCACAACAGGATACACACATTTCACTTTTTTTTTACTGTTATCAGAGCAACGAGCGTACACCAGTTTAAAACAGGTTCAGCAAAAAACTCTCCTTGGGGCTGTTTCTTTGTTTAATGCACTAGAGACACATCAGTAGTTTCTGCTATAAACTGCAAAACAGCTCACTTTTCCAACAAATGAGCTGACTATCCTGTTATTTATCTACATAGTTGGATCCCGGCTGCTTTCCCTTACCTGCTCCAGGGTAATCTCCCCCGTTGCCACTAGCATGTTGACTAGGGTGTGGGGGGTAGGGGCTGGGACCTGGTCCAGGGCCATGGCCAGGTCCTGGGCCAGGCCCTAGCTGGGCAATCATCTCCATCACATTGGGCATGGTCATCTGACTGGGGCTCATGGTCTTAAAGCGCTTGGCAAGTGGTCCGTCAGGGTCCTCTTTGATGTGTACCTCAGACTTTATGGGAACAGGTCTCCAGCTACATGTAGGGTCTATAGTGACCTCCTCAAACTCTGAACTATTAAAGGAGAAAGTAGAAAGTTTGAATTTTGAGAGGATGGACTAAAAGTTAAGGGTGGATTTTTAGCCTAAGAATGAGAAGAACTTACTTTTGGATGGCATTTAGGATTCCCCACATGTACTGGTCCACCTCCAGGCCTTCTAATAATGCTGTTTTACTGAAAGGAGAAAAATAAACATTAGATATAATCCATTAGAGGCACTCCTTTAGTGATCCCATCTTTCCATCCAAAAAATCCCAAAATACAGAACAACTTTTCACTTACTTGCACACAGGACACCTCCATGTCCCCCTCTCACAGTTGAGCTGCAAGTATGACTCTAGATCAAAACACTGTGGAGAACAACATCACAATTCATTAAAACAATCTTCTCCCATTCAAAGAGACCTGTGACAACATTTTTCATGAACAATAAACTTTTACCGCCTCTTTAAATCTAAACAAACCTGGACATGTTTGCAATCATGCCCTCGAGCCGGTAGCTGGATGCGTCGGAAGGTAATGGGACATTTTAGCGACACTTTAATAGCCGTCTGCTCTACACCGTCTTCCCCGTTAAGATTGGCGTTTCCTGCCGACGCCGCCACACTGCTGAAGTTCCTCTTAACTAAAAAGAGAAAGCGTTTTAGAGGGAAGGTATTACTTTGTGAGCAGTTGCAGGTGTACTTCAAGACCAATTTTGGGAGAACCATAAGGAGAAACAGGTGTACGCTCGTGTAATTAAGATGTACTTATGCACATTAACAACATTAATACACAAAATGAGACATACTCTTGGTGATGCAGTGTTCTGCAGGAAGGAGTCTTTTCTTCAGGAGCCCCTGGAGGACGGACCGCACAGATGGCCTGTGGACCAGCTGCAGCACAAACAGGTGGGACTGCAAAGCAACACGAGAAAAACGAAAACAAACAAAATCAAACAGTCTATTCAGCGCAACACTTATACTAAGTTAAATCATCTGTGTACAATCTTTCCAGCTGATTTTTCTTATGAATGAAATAATTCAATTTCTGTAATGTTAGTAGTTTTACATTGTCCTGGTAGTGTGCACTCACACAACAGCAGGCGGTGACTGTAATCTGGATGGTGTTCCTTCCAGGTTGGCATACGTGCTTCAGGTGCAGGGGTTTGTGGGAGGTTTTGTTGTCTCCCCTCTCGATGGTGAGGGGCGTGGCGTTGACGCTGACTTGGACGGAGGCGGGCCAGTTGGTGTTCATCTGCCTGTCTTCATGGTGGTAGCACTTAAACTGCAGTTCAAGGTCTGACCTATGGGTGTAGTAGGACGAGAGAGTTGGCGGGTTTGCGTCAACATTCAGTTCCTGCCTGAATACAACATTCGCTATGGCCCCGAAACAACCACACAAATGTTGAATTAATGAAAGTGGTACAGCAATTATTTCAATTATTATGGATAAATTTCAATTAATTATATTTTTAAGAATATTCTGTTAAACTAACCAAATTTGTATTTGATCAGCAATGAATGACCGAGGTGGCCTTACCTCCACATGAGGGTCTGATGGACGGAGGGTCGAAGGTGGAAGACGTGGTTACTGACAGCCAGGTTGTGCTCCAAGCGGAACGGCTCCAGCACCACTCCATCCCTGACTGGGAATGTCAGCCGCAGCTCTTCATTGGAGTTTGCTGGGAAATAAGAAACACAGAGAGGGTGGAGGTTTTAATCTAACACTGGTAAAGTCACACAATGCGGCAGATGAAATAAAAGAGCACAAGGATAAAAGGGTACTTACATGGAGGGGGCGGTAGTGCTGTCATATTTGGTTTCATGTCGGGTGGAAACGGGGGCTTCACATCCTGGTTTGGCGACAGGTATGGAGGAATACCACTTCCTGGGGTCATAGGGGGTGTAGGGTTTCCAGGGACCGGGGAATGTGGGTAGTTGCCTGGCCTGGGGGGCTGTAAAAAGCAGGAAAGTGCAATAATGAAAACATCTGCATAACGTGTTTCCCATGCATGACTGGGTCAAATTTAGCACAAAGGTCGTGCTGAAAACATACCCCATTTCCTTGGCCGTAGGAGTATCCACCTCCGGAGAAGTTGGTGCTCTGACCATTGAAGGGCTCTTGCTGTAAAGGAAGTAGAGAGCAATAATAATTTGATATATTATAACCAGGCATATGTAGTTTGTTCCAAAATGTGATATAAATATAACTATTAATCCATCTGTCTCTGCCTTTTGCACAGTGCATGGTTGGATAGGCTCCAGCCCCCCTCCTGAGCCGGCGTAAGTTGTAAGTAAGCAAATGGATAGATGGATGAGTGTTGTTGCATTACAGACCTTGTAGTATTGGCCCATGGGCATGCCAGGTGGGTACTGTCCTTGACCCTGCTGCCCTGGCATCCTCTGGCCGGGGTAGTTAGGAGATGGCAGCGGCCTGGAGGCGTTGGATGTGGGGTATTGCCCCTGCTGTGGTGGGAACTGACTGTTTGGCCCGTACGGCTGCCCCCCGTAACTTGCCTGGAAGCAGAAAGTTATAAGAAAATATGTTAAACACATAGGGCTCTATTTTCCAGAAACGCTAATACAAAACACAAAAGGACGTGACCAGCAGTTTTGCTTTTAATAAAAAGGGCTGTGCAGATTTGATGTAGCTCTCGCCACTCCAGGTGATCTTGCTTGCAATCTGTGAATAACAGCTTTCGAGTCTGATGTTTAAAAAACACAGTACATTAATTAGTGTTACATGTCCCGTCACCTTGTTTGCAAGATTTAAATAATTAACGAGGTTATTGCTGCTGTGCCATCCGTGTGCAAAATTACACACAGCTCCTCTCTCAAGTCAGAAATTAAACACAAATTTCATTCCTGCTGCTGTGTGATTACTACAGGTGTTTAATCAACTGCATGGGAAAGATCCGACTTTCAACAAGCTGCGTGAAACTAGCTCATTAAACAGAGCATCACTTTTCATGGAACGCACTTGAATGATATTATTGGTAAGAATCTTATTTTAAAGCACATATCAATCTGTAGTAGATGAGGAAGTGTGGCAAAAGGAGAGAGGAAAAACCGTGGTCGTCATTGTGGTCTGTGTGCGTGCGCCCAGCATCTGCATCTGCAATAAGAGCTGGTCTGCAGCAGGTTTTAACACAAAAGCCATTTTGTAAGCAAAATTGTACCACCCCACCAGCATAAACACACCCTCCTCCCTCCTGGGTGCAAACAGGTTCATTTGGTGCCAGGAAAACAGGCGCAGACGCAAAGAAATACCAGAGGAAAATAGCATAAAAATTACGTTTGTCTAAGCACTGGCTTTGCACATAATCTCATAATACGACATTAATTGTCAGATCTTTCCACTCACCTCTCCAGGATATGGCCTCTTTATCCCCTGCATGGGCATGCCCTGTCGAGGTCCTCCGGGATACCCTTGCTGAGGCATCCTTTGGCCGTGAGCTCCAAAAGGCCCCATGCCTGGGGTTCGAGCCTGGTTCATGCCCATGGGAGGCCCACTCATATTAGGGTTGTTCATGGCTGATCCCATGCTGGCTGGATTCATACCTCCAGGGGGGCCTCGTGGGCCTGGCTGGTTCATGAACTGGCTGTTGTAGGCCTGAGCGGGGCCCATTTGGAACGATGAACACATCTGGAGGCAAAGCACAAGGTTTCAGTGTTTAATATGATTATTTTGGATCTCCAGCAGGTGGTGGGATAATAGGTTCCTGTGTATATTTGTGGTTGCAGCTGTAAACATCTATTAGCAGGTGTGTACTGTACCTGTCCATACTGGTTCATGTCTTTATTCTGGGTTTCCTGCAGAGCTGCCACCGTGGCCGTTGCTGTGGCCGTTGCCGTAGCAGCAGCAGCAGCGACAGCAGCTGCTGCAGCAGCGGCGGCTGGCTGAGTGAAGTCACCAGGAGGACGTGTGTGAGAGGTCATTCCCATACCTCCTGGAGGAGCATTTGGGCCTCCAGAATAACTGTAAAAAAAAACATGTTTTAATCATTATGCTAAATTTTATTACTTGATTTTTATATATTTTTTTTACATAGAGTTGTTTCCAGTCTCTTACCTCCCGCTGTATCCCCCAGGACCTCCAGGGTAGCCAGGCCTGCCGTACATGCCCTGCTGCATGTACGGTTGGTTGGAGCCTCCCTTGTTTGGAAACTGTTGCTGCTGAGCATTGTACTGAGGTGAGTTGAGTCCTGCTGCGCTGGCAGACATACCTGATCCCATTGGGTTACCTCCAGGATTCATGGGGTTATTGCTATTCACCATTGGGTTACCTAGCACCTGGATTTAACAAAGCACGATACAGGAAGATAAAATATACATTAGGTTTGTAAAATAAAGTAAGCAGAGAAACCAACCAGCACCAACTGTATGTCAGAACTTACATAATGACAGAGGATGCTGTTCATGCATGGACATACCTGACTCTGTGACGTATTGGTCACACCCCACACTGTTGTAACCACAGACAATGACCCAGGGGGCTGGTTGGTGTTTTGTTGCCAGGGGACAGAGTCATAGGGAAATGATCCATCACTGGGAAAAGTAGATCAAAACAAAAACACGCATGCCTGATGTCACTTGAAGTTTCAACTGGCCAAGAAAGCCAAGAGAATTGCATATCCGTCCAAAAATGTGAATAATTTGGGAATTATTCTTGCCAGAATGTTAGGCAATTTGAAATGCTTGGCGTTCAATTTCAAAACACATTTTCAGCCAGGATATCTGCAAATGGCTGCACTGGGAGATGAGTAAAAATCTCCAAAATCTCCATACACACACCAGTTCAAAAACAAACATGATTAAATTATTTCTTTGAGTTGTTGAAAAACCTTTGGATATGGTTAGGTAGAGAGCAGTGGGGATATTTAGCATTCAGATTTAAAACAAATATCAGGGCAAAATATGAGAGACTGTTACATATAATAAACAAGCTAAATCCTCATGGGGAAAGAGGCAAGTGGCCGGTGGAGTGGGGAAGTAACTGCTGTTTTTGGAGAGCAGCTTGTTTTCGCTCAGAGGTTAGCTCTCGGAATGGACGACGTGTTCAGTATTTCCTCATAAAGGCACAACATTATCCTAAGATCCTCAGCAGAGGCAAGCAGGACTCTTGGCCAACTCCAGGCTTTCTTCAAGAGAGAGGCATAAGCACACAATGTTCTCAAAAGGCATTACTTCACAGCTCGCTTCCCTGCTGGTTTGTCACTCCACCCCAAATCACCTCAGCTCTACTCAAAGGAATTTTGGCTCCTCTCCAAACAATGGAAAGCTTCTTGTATCTTGGCATGTGTGTATTACAGAAGCGCTGAATACAAAATAATACCATAATAAAGACCAGAGCCACCACTGCACCTAGTCTCTTAAAAGGTACTAAAGAGAGCCTTAGTTAGCTCTAATCAATCTGTTTGGTACAAATTTGGGAGAATGCACCATCTAAAAATGTACGGGAAGGAGCAGAGAAATAAGACATCAAAGGTTACCTTGAAAATAATAACACAAATTTGTCAGTTTTGGAACCGTGACCACTAAATAAATCATTTTAAATCTATAAACAATCTATTTTTATTTCCTTTTTCCTCTATTTGCATTTCTCTTCTCTTTCTCTGCATCTTCCCTGACACTTTCATCTCATCATCTCACCACACACACACACACCCACACACACCCACAGCACCCATTACCCCCTCCCAACACATACTTCCTCTTATCTGTTGTGCTTCAGTGATTTCAGTGTATTTTATCTATGTTGTGTTGTTTATTTATTGGGTCATGTTATTTCTCACAATAATAAAAAAGAAATGCATGTATTATAACACTTTATATATATATATATATATATATATATATATATATACACACACACATACATCTATCTATCTATCTATCTATATATCTATCTATATATATACACATACATATATCTATTTATTTTTTAAATACATTACACACTGTATGATTGAATCTACAAGTACAGTGGATGGACATGGACAAGAAGTTGCAGTCCAAAGGTAAAAATATTGGCAACTATGGCCAGATAGAAAAAACTACCCTAGAAAATCAACATCTCTCCATTATGTATGTGCGAGACAGATGTAGGCTGAGGGCTGATGTTGGTGTGTGTGGTTCTTGGGTCTGTGTGAATAAATCGTTTGCTGATTTGTATTGTGAAAATCAAATAAAAACATTTGAACTGTAAAAAAAAAAAACCCCTGAGTGTTGGATGTGTATTACATTCAATGGGGAATAACTACAAACAAATGCTTAAAAACAGTAGTATTAACTGAATTTATTCAAATACAAGTATCTCATGTCTGCCAAATCACAGCTGCACTTCACTGATTTTATGTTGCACATTTTTTTTCCCTTGATACTCCTCTTTTAACAAATTTTTTTCTTGGGGGGGTTAAAAAGCTTCATTTCATTCGTAAGATGGAAAAACGGTAACCTTGAACTGAATTGAGAATCTGGTTTTGCAGTAAGATAAGCACAGTCTTTAATAATCTGACAGGAGATGTGTCAGAGACTCCCCACTGACCTGTGTGTGAGGCCGGGCTTCATGCTGTTCATGCTGGGCTGCATGGGGACTTTTCCCTGCGGTTCGTTCTGCCTGTTCTTCTGGTGACGCAGCAGGAGGAGACGACCCAGCTCCTCGCACCACGACGACAGCAGGGCTGCAAGGAAAACACACAAGACACACACACACACACACACACGTGAGTCTCCCTTCAGCATACAAACACACTCTCACACTTACATGAACTGTGTATTCATGTAGCAAATAAGTGAATGGTCACATAGAAAACAAGCAGAATTTCTTGTTTTCAACTTCACTTGTAATGCACTTTTAAATGTCAAACTCGAACAAATAGATTTACACTGTCAGGTCTCTCAACGGCGCAGTATCCTGACTCCTTTGCTTGTGCCCAGAGCCTGGAGTCATTGCTAAAGCCTCCAGGGGGCACCCTAACTCAATAAACTACATTGATTATTTTTCCTGTGTGGATTTCACAACAGTTACATCACGCCATCTCTACCTGCAGTGTAAAATATAAACTGAAATCAATCTACAGGCACAAAGGACCTCCCAGTTTTTCTGCCACAGAGCGGGAGAAGCTGAAATGGAGCGTGAGGCAGACAGTGAACAGAGTGGTTTGGGTTACAGATCTATGTAGGAAGTAAGAAACTGTGATATCTTTACTCTCCTCCACTTTCCTCACCCATCACCATCACTTAATTCTCCGCCACACTTCCTGTGTTCTAAGTACTAATCAAACTGTGCAGCATTCTCATCCTCTATTTTATTTTCATTTTATTTTTACAACTTGTCTTTCTTGAATTGATCAGAGTTGTGGAGCTTATTTAAACACACTGCCTCTTGATTGTAGAACGTTGTCTTGACAAACCAACAAAGGAAAGATTACTGTGTTCAGTAGCTAATTAAATAATTTAAGATGCTATTTTTAGCCTTGCAGACCCAGATACACCAGCTTTCAGGAAGTGTTGTTACCAGGTTGGTGCCCTAAAGAAATCATGTGTCTGAGGTTTAAACATTCTGTCGCATTGAAAAATGGCATTGCATTGTAACGATTTGCAAGGCAACAAATGTCAAAACTGAAACCTTGCATTCAGTGGTGCCATATGTAACCTGTAGCCTATATTATGATATACCAAGTCTAAATTGCTTGAGCAAATGCATTATGTTTTTTGAGTGATTAATATTTGATCTGACAACTGGCTGTTTACAAAGACAAACAAAAAGGAGAGGAGAAAGGGGAAGAAAAAAGGGCCCAAAGGAATGAAGAACAAAGCAGAGGAGCAGTAACATTTTCTTCTGGAGGGTGGAGCGAGCCAAGCCTCCTAGTTAAGGAGGAATTATTCCACCCTGCCATTACAGAGAGCTTATCTCCCCACTAAATCACCACCTCCACACAGAGGGACTGTCTCTTCAACTGGCAACCCACCATTTAGACCTAAAGCGCAACTGATGGAGTCGCTCTGAGGGAGGGAGAGAGGCAGAGGAGAAAAGAGCGGTGGTGTCCTCATCATATCAGAATGGCTACAAACGACCAAATCTAACAAGTGGCCAAGGCCAGAAGTCATTCATAATAGAGTGGAGGTCCGCTCTGGGCAATGTGCATATTTTGTAAGCTTAGTACAGTACATGACCTTGTTTTCACCTCACAGTCCCCCTGTGTTAAAACCCCTGCCAACACCCGCAATTAAGTTACTATACTCCTCTAGCTTTATCTCGCTCCTCTACATAAATGCACCTTCTCACGTACTGTACACACCCACATTGCTCTCAGTCATTTTTTTCTCCTATTGCGATCCACCTGTTTAAACTATTATTAATTAAGATGATTTGTTAACTTCACTAATGGAGAACAAGAGGATCAGATGCCAAGAGCACAGCCAACAAAAACATGAGAGCATAAAGGCAAGGTCTCGGTCTCATTTGTCCTCTTTCATCTTTCCATTCATTCCCATTTCATTTAAATTAAAACCATGTAGTTAAATCACTTTCAGCTACCTGGTGGAGACAAGTCAAGGCCAACTACTGAAAAGCTCTTGGTGAAAACCTTCTTTACTCTATACCGACTTTATATCAGCAGCTTCCACAGTCAAAAGGTCCACAGTGCTCATTAAAACTATGCAGAATGTAAAAAGTAGACAAACTAAGAGTTTCATTAATCAATTCAATTTTATTTATATTGCGCCAATTCATGGTGATGAGGCTAAATTGAATCACTGTGAACTAAAATCCTGAGAATTTCTATCACTACATTGATTTACAACATCATAAAATAATAACTTTGGTGCATGATGAGCAAATTCTGCAACAGGCGAGATCAAAGTGATAGCTCAGTTTTGGGGAAATGGTACTAGTTTTTCTCCACACAGAGCGGGACGAGGAGGAGATGTTTTTCTTATGTCTCTGCATGCAGTCTGAATGTTAAATGGTGGGTTTCGCCGAGCTTTGCCCAAACACTGGATATCTAGAGGATCAAGTAGCAGCCCTGCGGAACATCAGTGCTATTTGATAATGTGTTGACATGCCAGTTTACAGTTGAGTAAGAAAACAGAGAGATTGTAGCTACAGTATGTAACATTAGGCTTAAGGGGAGTTGGCAGTGTTGCCGGAAGGCACCTTCTCCAGCACTGAGGGTTTGCAGTTGTTAGTCTAATATTAACAATGTTTTCTTACATTGAGTACATACAAAATCCCAACAATAACATTATAGTTTGAAACTAATTTCTGCCTGTAGGCTCCTGTGAAGAAGAGTCTATTGGCAGTTAGTTGGCTGGTTTAGTTTTTCCTTCTTTGTTAATAATAACAATTTGTGTCTATGTCTATTTAAAGATGGAAATTACATCATAGTTTACTTAGACATGCCTTGCCTCTTTGGAGAAGTATAAAGTTGTATTTCCCTACCTTTGAGAGAAGCAGATGCTGACCACATTGAATCCCCTATCCAATGGCTATGAGTTTATCTAGGTTAATCTCACCCTTCATATCATAATATTTTCAAACTATCCTTTTAAATGCACGAGTACTGCTCTGGGTAACTAATGTCTACAGATTGCAGTGACACTCAAACTCAAGCTTCTGTGTTGTATTGAGGTATTTTCATTGAATTCTCTGTAATGGGGCCTTGACACACAGAGACCTCTCCTTAACAAGTGGTTTGTAATGTCCTCTACCAGCAGAGAGAGATTTTTTTAAGGAAACTCTCTCCTGAACCCTCTCCAAACAGCTCGATTTCTTAGGCCCCATCCACACTACTGCATTTTCGAATTAAAACGGAGACCTTTTGCTACGTTTGCACTTCCCATCCACACTAAAACGTAGCAAAAACCAAAACCTAAAACGGAGAAGTTTGGAAACGTTGCCGACCCTGTTTTTGAGTTGGTCTTTTTATTAAAATATTCTGTACCATGCAAATAACACTTATCTGCCTACACTTGTACTGTGCATGTTGCCGTTTTCTTTGCGCCGACTGCCAGTCTGTTTTCTGCCGCGACACTCCCGTGTTGCATTCAATAACAGTTCCAGCTCGTTATTGGTGTATGCAAAAAAAAATAAATCTGCTCTGATTCTTCGTTTATTCTTTTGCCTAATCTTCTATAACTACGGAATAGACCGTCTGCTTCATGTTTACACCGGCATGCACATGCCTTGTGTACGTGAACGCCCACTAGACGTTCACGTACACGTCAGCTTTTACTTGAGTAATGCTCAGAGACATATGGGCCCTCCTCCCTCAGGTTGTACTTAAAGCTGTATGGCTGACTGATAGCAGACGCCCTGGCTCATTCTCACCTCACCTCAGCCCCTCTGGGAGCAGCAGGCAGGGAGAGTAAGCCCTGGTAACAGGCTGCAAGGCCCATTAACTAATGACAGAGTGCATGTACAAGTCCTCTTTTACAAGAAAACCCCACTGCTAATTACTATGAACTCTGTGCTGTGTGTGTGTTTGTGTGTGCAAGCATTTTTTGTATGGTGAGAGCCTTTGAGCATATCATTTGTCAATTATATCACAACAGATTGCTAACTATCTGAGTCTAGAACACCATAAATGCGCGTACCCCAACATAATTCAGTTAGCTGCAAGATAATGATCCCACTTTGTTGTGCCCTAGATCTGCCACACAAACGCAATGAGCACATCAGGTTGGGGAGGTGATTGAGACAGCTTCGCCTCTCCTCGAACTGCTGTACCCTTTAGCAAGGAAGTTAATAGTCAACTCTTTCAATGGAGAAGCTGAAGCCAGCAGCAGAGGAGTGAGATTGCGCCGGAGAGTTCCCAGGTGTGAATCACTGAACGGAATGTGTTATAAGACCACAGAGGAAAGTATACCCAGCAACTGGCCGAAGAAGTACAGAAGAACACGCTGAAATGGCCTAATTTTGTGGCCAGTGCATGTCAAATGCCATTGAAATGGCCATTTCAATGGGTGTAAACAGATTGTTTTTTCTCTCCTGCACCCAATCAGTAATTGTGTAGCTCATGACATCCTCTGTGTTAAAAGGGAAGCAGAGCTCACACTGCAAACAGTCCAACCATGTCTCAGTGCAAACGCTGGTACTCCAGCCAATTTTCATGACTTTGGCTGGTGAAGTTGCACAGGCACTCCAACATGGCACAGACACATTTTAAGACTTCCACCACTGACTAAGTGTGACATAAAAATCACTTCAATATGCCAAGTGTGAAAAAAAACCAACCTTAATTAATAGAAAGTAAAAATATTTTATTCAACTACAAAAGCAATATGTGTGGCTATATTTACATGTGTGCAAATTCAGTACTGCATATAAATTAAGTACTCCATTTACGGTAACTGAATAGCAAAGATGGTGTCTAGTAAACCCCTGTAAACACAAGAAATAGGCGGCACTCAAGTGGTAATAAAACTACTTGACAGATGTGACTGCTGATGAGTTTTGGAGGCAAGTTTTCAAACCTGTGCCACCTTTTTTGTGAACACATGCAGTTATTTTTTGGGGGGGGGGAGGGGGGCGGTTGTGGACACATTGCACCCTGCTCAAATTCATTGCAGGAAACGTGCACCTGTTTCCTCTTAAGAATGCAATTACAGCCATGACTCTGCACTGCCATATTATGATACTGATATGGCATCAGTGAAATGTTACTGATATTGTATCATGGAGCAGCAGTAGGGCTTAGCTTTTTTGTTGTATTATTAAATTCATGTTTTAGGTGCTACAACCAAGAAAGCTGGATACATTACATGTGACTGCTGCAGCCTCATGTATTTGGATGATAATGCAAAGCAAGGATTGGTGGCAATGAAGTTTTGTAAAGGAGCGGAGAAAGAACAAAATCTTTCTTGTAGCTGCATGAGCTACTATACTGAACACAACCCCAGGATGTTACAGTGTGTGCTCCTCTTCCTTTGATGTTGAGAGTGGCAACTATAAAGTATAAACATGGAGGCTCGGTTTTATTGCTAACAAGCTTTGTTTGCACAAAAGCCCATTAAGAAGTTTGTGTCATATGGTGCAAGAGCATTGTGCTAATTGTAATAAATATTAAGATGGAATTCCCTGTCTTCAAATCACCTCTGGTCCTGAAATGACCAAATATCTGGCTGTCATGCCAAATTCTGATCAACACTGGTCACACCAGGCTTTGATTGAGACATGTAATACTGTGCATGCAGCTCTACTGTAGTTTTGTTGATAACAACACAGACAAAGGAGAAAATACTACAGGAAAAATTACACTTTCTGAGCATGAACACTGCAGCACTAGACATAGAAGCCTTCTCAGACAATGTGTGGGATGATAACAAGGAAGCAATTTATAATAGATATCATAGGCACAAGTCTGTAAAACACTGGCAGGTAGGTCTATGCTGTGTGGGTACAAATATTATGCAGAGGAATATGGAGGGGATATAAAATCCTGCGAAATAAAAAGAAAGTCATGCTTTTTGCATAAGTGTAATGGAAGCCATTTAAGCAGTCGATGATACCCCCCCATCCTGCCCCAGAAGAGCATATCAAATGGGCTTTAGTCTCAACAGCTTGGAGGCAGAACAACACAAACATGCCCTGCAGAGAGACCGCTCTCAGAAATCACACTCAACCAAAACCAGGCCTTTAAGGTAACTAACTGTTCGCACGGATCAGAAAATTCCAAATCGGAAATGGCCTCTAACTTAAAAAGTATTATTTTGTGTGAGTTTTCACTTAATTGACTTTTAATTGTCCATAATTGTTTTGTCCATTTGCACTGGTAAAAACAAAGGTTTTTTTTTATCTGGTTGGTTTGACACAATTTCATCCAGCACCTCTGGCAGTACACCAGACATGAGGACAGAGTGGGGGGGTAGAGGATGGATGGAAGGATGCTAGACAGAGGACAAGTGGAGATGGAGGGAGTGGGCAGATTCCCTCCTCCTCGGGATGTGTGTGGGTCACAAGCCAAAGAGATGCTGCAGCCCAGAAGGGAGGGTAGCTCTACCTGAGTCACTCTGACATCTCCTGCAGGTGTTGGTTTCTGTGGGGTTCAAATTACACATTTTTAAACGGGGCAGAGTTATATGAATCAGCATGAACACCAAACATAATGCAGTATGACGGCTAGATCTGACTAAAGGTGCAAAATGTCGGGAGCTCGGTGGGAAATGTGGGATCTCCATGTCGTATGTGGCCACAAAAAAACAAACAAATAATAAACACAGACGGTTTGAATGTATTGTGGGGGTGTGACGTCAAACTGAGCTTAACTGAGACTCTACACAAAGATCAAATCAGATACCACTTATTTATCTAATACTACCGTAATCAGATAAATTTGTGGTCTTTAATGTTTTCCAGTATGCATCTATAATCCAAAAGCACACCTACATCCTAAAATACTCCCTCTGTTATGGTATTTTTTGTATTTGTGACCACAGTGTTTCGAGTGAAATAACAGAACACATCAGTTACGCAGCACACTACAGGTTTGCTTTGGATACATTTGTTATGACAGGGGTTACGGCACTGACCTATGGATTTGACCTACATCCTCTCTGGGATATGAAATTCAGGTGGCCGGCGTATCTGCGTCACAATGCTCGGTGAGTCACCACGCTCTGCTTACAGTACTAAGCCTGGGGTCACGACCTTCCACATCTGCATCAGAGAACTATCACAACACTCACAATGATCCTACATATGAGCACACACACCCACTATCCACATCTGAGTCTCACATATTTGGCAGGGAATGTGCACAGTTGAACTCAAAGGCATGTCAAAGAAATGGGGAAATACACGACGGCACACAGGTTTGTTGGCACAAGCATCCATACAAAAACAGAAAGAAAAAAAGTAACGTAAATATGGAAACGGAGGTCTGTGTTGGTGAGTAAACAAACAGTCAGTGCCTGGGATTTGTGAAGATGTACAGTAAAGCGCCTCACACGGCTGGGAAGAGCATCAGAGAACAGCAAGCTGTGAATGAACTGCTCTTATCAGACACGCGCAGCTCCCCACCACTGAAGGGGAACTAGTAAATTTCATATGGCTAATTATAACCATACGCCAGACGCCCTACTAGTCTCAACTTCCACAATATGTCTTTCATCTCACACTGTTGTTCCTACAATGAAATAGTCAGGGTGAAAAACACAATCAAGAATTCAGAGATTTCCTGCGGCTGTGGTTTCATAATATAAGACAGTGATTAAAAAGTGATGAAATTCCAGCTGTGGCTCTTTCACAGGTGAATCTGTAAAGGAAGAATTTCTTGAGCACTGGCCATGAGAAGGCGTCAAAACACCTTGACTAAAGCACTGAATACAAATGCAAGAGATTAACAACACATCCTGCAAGAATACTGTACTGCCCGGGGTGCCGAGAGCTCCACCCTCGCAGCTATCAGCACTTGACATCAGTTTGTCCTTCCACAAATTCCTTTCTCCCTTCTCAAGCAACAAATCAAACACAACTTTACTTGACCACTTGCTGTCAGTGGGAGGAGGGAGCGGTGTCGAGTATGGCAATAATTCACAGAAAAAGCAGAAACAAACTGCAAAAACAAACAGAGGCCGCACACACACAGTTCAAAGTCAAATGTCATGAATGAGTCACTAAACAGGCCTGATGGGAAGTACTCAGAGTGCAGTCACAGGAGGTCAACAGAGTGTGTAGAGTAAGCAATACGCACAAAGCTTTGGAGACAGAGAGACAGGAAGAAGGCTAGAGGGGGAGAGCTGCTGCATGTGGCTGTGAGGTTGAGGATGCAGACGGTTTCAGCAGTTTACGCCCTGTAACGACAGCTTGCTGGAAGTCCAGTTGTGTTAAGACTATTTTCTACATAGGTCATTGGAAGATAGTGTTATTGTTTACAACAGCCATTTTCTAATTAAGTTGTCAATTTTAAGGTTAGATTAAACACTGAACGAATAGCCTAGAGCATCGCGTCGCTTTTATTGCCAGACTGCCCTTTACTCACTCATGTGAAGGAAGTGTTGCTTCCCTCTATGAGAACGTTTTAACCAAAAGAGGTACATTACAATACTTTTAAACACCACTGAAAGACTGAAACAAAAAGAAGACCTTTCTGTGCACTGATCTCACTGCATTGTCCTTTCATGACTACACCCCCTGCCACCCTCTTTCTCTCCTAATGAGTGGACAGGCAGACATGCTCTGGCTCCAAGCACAGGTCAACTTAAAAAGGAATCCACAAAAAATGGGTCATCTTCTCCTCACACAGAAACACACACTAACGCACATACACATGCACTGTTAACACAACAAGTTGTTGAATGTATGATGCTGTAATTATTGCATTTACATATGTATGTAATGTTAAAACCACACGTGTTTGTTCCTCTATGTTTGTAAGAACTTAAGAATTACTGTACAATCAAATCTTACTTCCCTAACCCCAAGTGTGGCCAACAGTCTCTATAACTATAACCCAAAGTTAAACTGTACTCGTTCAATGCCCAGCCTTGAAACAAGACCTAAACACCATAACATAACAGAAATGAGCCAGTAAATCGCACTATTAATGTATGTTTGTGCACACAGACAAAACCCCACTCAGAATAAACCTATGACAGAACAGCATGTAGGTCAACCTGTGGTCAGCTGATGTGTCCTGATCCTGTCTTGTGTGAGCGGCCAGTGCTTTCAACTACAGTCACACTAGCACACCAGACAAGATAGAAGCCCATATTATTTGTGGCCTAAATTACAGCTGCAACAGACACGACAATGCCAAAGTGCAGTTGAAATGAATAGTTCTGCATTTAGACAATTTAACTTACTTTATTGAGAAAATCAAACTTATTCTGCTTCAATAACTGCAATTGTAATTACATCACCTTCGACCTAAATTAACATCTCGATTGGCCTCTGTTAACACCTGAACCTGTCCCATGCATGAATACACACTCAAATAATATACCAAATAGTTTTGTGCAGAGGCACATGAATGGACAGCACATGCACACCCATACACACACTTACCCAGAGCCAAGCAAAGTCCCTGCACATCTCATCTCATTCCCTTCATAGCGCAGAGAAAAGACTCAAGTGTCACAAATGCTCCTGTTCCCGCAGAGGCCAGTGGCAACTCTCAAAGCTTTTGCTGCTTCCAAGCCTCCTGCCTGTGCCTTATCACTCTCACTCTCTGCACATATCCCTTACTCTGCTCACTCCTTCTTTTTTACTTCCTTTCCCCCTCTCCTGTCTTTCTCTCTCTTTTTCTTTTGCTCACTCTCTTTCTCCCACCTTGCTCTCTGATCTGTCTTTTTCCCTTGTCCAGCGTCTGCACAATGCACATCAATTATTCAGAGGCAGTCTCCCGGTTTCTCCAGCTTATCCAATCAGAGCAGGGCTCTGCACTAATGGGCTCCTGCTGTACCTGCTACCGGCTCCAACACACTCTCGAGACAGCGGGTGGGGGTGGGGGTGGGGGTGGGGCGGTGGCGGTGGTGGGGGAGAAATAGACAGAGGGAGCAGAGGAGACAGCTGAGGAGGAGGGAGGATGAGAGGAAGAGATAAAGACAGTGAGCTGACACAGACAAACAGGGGTAGAGATAGAGAAGGCAAGACATTCCAGTGCTTCTCACCTCTGTCGTGAGGTGCTGTTATTGATGTGCTCAGCCTAGACAGTCTAGTTCTGCATTGTCCTGTTTCTCTAAGCTGCCATCCCACAGCGCACACAGAAACGCACATGCACACATGCATAATCTGGCAAAGTGTCTGCCATTTGTCTGTCTCTGCAAGCTCCGATTGCAAACTTGCATAAATGGGCGGAGCTTAATGTACTATGCAGGCTGGCTGGAAGCCAATGCAAGAGAGGAAGTGGGAGGAGAAGAAAGTTTGAGATGTAAAGATCAATCTATTCAAAGGCAGACAAATACTAAGAATCAGAGAGGGGATTCTCTGGACAGTCTAACCTGACACCGTCACCCTGTCTTCATCAGAGGCCACTTGGTAAATTAAACTAAAAAGACACATCAGAGAGTAGCAGAATATCTGAGTGCAAGTGAATTAAAGAAGAGGGAAGGGTGAATCTGAGTTCATCTCCTCTTCGCCTGTCCCAATCACAAACCATCATAGCAACAAAAAACAATCTGGATGAGATGGACAGGAAAGGCCTGAGCTGCCATTGTCCTCTCTCTCCTTACCGAAACGTCGAGATGTGCGAAGAGCGGGAAAGCCCACTGGCCTTGTGACAGCAGAGGGAAGTTGTCTTTCATGTGGCTTTTGTGTGACAGACACACTCAGTCATCAGCAGTTACACAAATCGCCCAAGCAGAATTGAAACACACACAACGGAAGCATTGTTGGACAGAAATATCACTTGAAAAGGGTGTGTGAAAAGCCCATGGGGGATGATCGGAGGGTGGGGTGGTGGGGTTGAGTCCTTAGGTACGGGTGCCAGATCAGTCAGCCCTGAACAAAAGGAGGATTTAAATCATTTGCTCATCCGGTTTTGACAAGAACAAAGTACTCTATGTTTGGAGTACAACTGCACTGCCGGCTCAGCTGGGATATTACCAAAATGAATTTACTTGCAACTGTGTAAACCAAACCAATTAAGTAGCAAGTGATAGAGAACCCAATCAGCCAGAGGCAGCAAATGCAGCTACCCTAATAAGTATTTCCCCGTGAGCTTTATTTCTATAAACTTAATAGTGAAGTTCTGAAGGTAGTTTTGGGTTGCAAAGGGGTTTCATCATCTAAGGCAAACCACTGGAGAGTGTTAGAGGAGAGGCCCGTCTGCTAAAAATAAACCCTGTTTCCTGTTAATAATTCAGCACGCTGCTCTTACTCAGCAGTAATTAAATATAAAAGTCTGTAAGGTTGATTGGGTCAGTTACAAAGGATGCCTACACCTTCCTCTAGTTCTACACACACAGCTCAAAGACGGAAAGAAACACGGGGTGAGAAAATCAATCAAGTGAAAGTAAATTGAGACAGATAAGTGGACGACATGTCAGATTGTTGTAGGCCAAAGGAAGAGAGAGGTGTGTGTATGTGTGTGTGTGTGTGTTCGTACAGGCACTCAGACACTGCGCAATGAGTCTACACAAAGTCTAATGGGAGCACTTATTTTCAGTTGTTGATTCTCTTGCACTGCTCGCTAAATTATGGGAGTTAAGACTTCTGAGCTCTGTGTGCATTTGTGTGTGTGTTCGTCTGTTTTTCACAGGACATGAGAAGGAGCCACACCCTGGAAGTTTTCTGTCACTGTTGACACAGTAGAGTTGCTGTTTTGCTGATCTGAAACACCAAATCGCTCTGTGAGCAAGCTCTGTTGACTGACCGAGCACTGACAATTCTGCATTACCACTGGGCCAATTTCTTTTTAATGTCAGATGCGAGTGGGCGGGGGATATTTACCAGCTACCCAGAACAAAGCTCAGCTCTTTTCATATTATCTTCTAACACTGATTGTTAATCAGCTGAAGAAGAGAAACTAACACATAAAAAAAACATCAAAGACAATTATCACTTGTGTAGATGAAAGTAAAATCACCTGCTCTTTTACCACAACAGTAAGTATTCACTACTGGAGCTTAACCTTCTGGTTGGATTCTGACAACATGTGACGCCGACATGAATGACTGAATCATTACTTCTTTGAGCAAGACAGAAGAACAACAAGCAGCAACCTGCATCTGACTTAAACATTAAAGGAGGCTTCTAAGAACATAGCGATCATTCCAAGGAGCAGCTAACTTTATCCAGAGCGTGTCACGTCATGTTGAAAATACAGACACCGAGTCACACTTAAGATTTACTTTCATCTAATTAAAACTTAACACAAGGGGACATCGTCAAGTAGAGGAGGCAAGGAAGTTTACATAAAAAGTGGATAACTTGTCAGAATGATCATTTGTTAGGTTTATTATTGGAGTTTATGCTCCATAAAGAAAGAGAACAAACTACTAACTTATGAGTTTGGTGACAGATTCACTGAGGAAGGAAACAGTAAAACCCTTGATAGATTAGGTGGCTAATCTGATTTGTTGTCTACTGAATTTCACAGTAGCCCAACAGCTCAGAGTCTATTGGGGTTGTGCGTGTCTGTAGGGCAGCAGCACACCTAATATCTAATGAACCTCTCAGTTGGACGTCTGCATGCAGCAGACGGTAGATTATTATGAGGAAAACATTAACAACTCTAAGAAGATTTAAAAACAGACTATGGATTTTAAAACACAGCACTTCGTCAAGTATGACTATGTAAAAAAACAAACTTGGACGCTGCTCTTTTCCAGAGAGTAATCTAAATGTAACAATGCTAGCTGCTACCACGCTAACGGCATTAAAGCTGTGTACCCTCGCTGGCTCAGAGAGTTAACAGTGCTAATGCTAGCTCGCCTAACAGCAGATAAGTCTCTTCACTGGCTGATTCCAGATTAGAGCAACACGCTAATCCCTCAGGCCTCACTGCAGGGTCACAATCTCCAGACAGCTCATCAGCAGCAGCCTGCTGTTGCTGAAAATCTCTCCAATTTACTCGAAAGGTCTCACGGACAGCAGTTTATACTTTTCCATCAGGAGCAGTACAACTTCAGGCATTGGTAGTTTATTCATGGTCTCTCTTACATGGAGTGAAGACACTGACAGACAAACACACGCAAAAAGAAAATGATAAACACAAGCCCTATCTATAAATGCAAGACGGAAAATTTTCATTTTACTGTTTATCCTCTAGTAGGCTCTCTGGGCCGTTTCTCCAAATAAGTCTAAAAGGTGCCAAAAAAGCAACAAATAAGGATCACTTGTTAGTAATTACTTACTGGAAGTCATATATAACTTTGATTTATCGCTTAATTCTAGTACATTCAAGTAAAATTCTAGTAATTTGTTTGCCTGATTGTTGACCGAGATCACCTAGCATGTTGCAGTTGTACTTAATTTTGCTCTAGTGGTTAAACTGTTAAGATTAACAATAATTGCTTTATCAATTTCCTTTTCGACTGATGCTCTGAAAGAAAGCATCAGGGTGTGACTGATCTGTAGTCTTGTGAGTCTGCCTCTTCCCCCCCTAGGGGCCCACATGGAGCATCCCAGACTCCTTGGCCCTCGTCTGGGTTCTCAGGTGTCAGATTTGCGGCCCTCTGTCGCCATGCAGGCTGTCAGAAGATTGTGCTGGGGCTGCACAATTAAGACACACATTCATGCACGAACAGACACACACAAAAAAGATAAAAATACACAAATATGACCATATAGACAGAGCTCACAAGGTGTTAAAAGCCAAACGCTTCCTTGCATCTTTGCTGATGCATTTGTATGAGCGCATGCATGTATCTCAGAATTCAAGTGTGCATCACGCCCCCCCCCCGTCTGCTTTCTCAGACAGACGTCCTTATAGGGGAGGTAAGACTGATGCTCAGTGAGTAAGATCTGTCCTGAGTCACATCTGCCTTCCACCCCAACAGTCTGACTGCCTCACTGGCTGGCTGCATCATATCTATGCAACCACCCACCCACACCACCCCGCATAATTACACTATAGTTCCCATTTGTCCGCTGTGCATAAACAGCTCTTCCTGAAACTCAGTGCTGTCTTCTATTAGATCCCAGAACCATCAGCAGGCCTGGGGATGATTCTGACTGTCAGTCGGGCCCAGACAGCCAGCCAGTTCGAGCCATGCCTGGACAACAATCACATTATCCAAACACAGGAACACAGACAGAGAGAGAAATACAGCAATCAATATTGTACACTGACGTCTGACTGACCACTTAAGTTCCTCCAAACAAGACACTTCCCACCACAACGGAAAGAGGATATTCAGCTTGAGCAAAGGTTCATATCATAGGATCATGTGAGCAAAAAAACAACAGCAACTGATACATTTCTGCTCTCTGCATTTTCATTTTCAGAACATCATAGCTCGTGTGAGGAATTATGGGGTAAGATTTCAGATAGTTACTGTCATTGCAGTGTCTGTTATAAAGCAGGGACATATTCGCCCTGTCAGAAAAACAAAGAAATCAGACAGTTTAATCAAAATATTTGATTCTCCCTACTCCTACTTATGTAACCGCTGAACAAAGGTTTATCTGTGTTCTGACTGGCTGGCTACGGCTTTGTCAGGTCTCTGTCAGGCAGATTGAGTGGTCCAGCACACATCAGCGACACCTCCCCAATCATCCGTCTCTTTCTCTCTCTCCTCCCTCCCGCCTCTGCACATTTCACTTTGACAAATGTACAAGAACAGGCCGCTCCTGCAGGACAGTGGGAGGTGGGGAGGGGGGAATTGGATTTGATAGATAAATGTCTGAGGATAAGGTTACTGCTCGCTTTCACTTTGTGTGTGTGTGTGTGTGTGTGTGTGTGTGTGTGTGTGTGTGTGTGTGTGTGTGTGCATGCAGTGTGCACATGAGTTGAGCAGACTGTTTTTGTAAGGCTACCACCCGGACAGCTCATCTCAATAGCACATTAATGTTTAATAGGGGCTAAAAATATCTGACGTTATAATGCTCTATGGGCTTTTTGTGTGGTGTCTATGAGTCATTTGTAGAAATCAGAAATATCCAAACCACAGATTCATGGTAACTTTTAACAAACAATTTTATTTGTTTTTATGCACTGAAAGGAACATAACAATTACCTAATTAAACTGTCTGTTAGTATAATTATGAGTTTCTCTGTGTCTTGCTAACAAAATTATCCTAATATGCTTTATATAGTGCTCAAAGCATAACAAGCAGTCACATCGTGCATTCATAGCCTGAGCAGAATAATGAATCACTTCTGACTGGATCATGACTTTAACCCATACGGTGATTTGTTATAATTGTTTTGTTTCATGAAAAAGTGAATACGTGAAGCATGAAGAACAATGGGCGCTGTATCGTCCACTGTCTTGCAAGTGAACAGCGGTAAATGGGGCGACGTATGAGCATGCATCTGCTGGCATTTTAGTATAAGCGGTGGTAAAAGCTTACCTGCGGACTTGGGAGTGAATTTGTCCCTGTTCGCGGCACACACAGCCAGCAACCTGTAGCCCAGGTCCAAGTCAAACCCCTGCTGAGCAGCCACCCGACTCACCACCTGGAGAAAGAGCAATGTACCATGAGTATAGCGGCTGTCCTTCAGGCTCTAGTGAGTTGAGCATTATATCAATTGTTTTTCTATCATTTTTATTACATAATTTTAGTACATCATTGCAAATTTTCTAATCAATTAATCGACTAATTGTTGCGTGTGTGTCTGTCTATCTGTAATAAACTGGGTAAGTTGCACATACTGATGCAATACCATAAAATATTGATCTCTTAAATGAATAATGAATGCTAAATAAACAGTAAGCCCTAGCTGAGGCATCTTAATCCTTTCGCTTTCTTAATTTTGTTAATATCATTTAACTGAATTTATCTTCAGACACACACACACACACACACACACACACACACACACACACAGTGAGATTAATGTGGAGTCTGCAGTCTGGATTGCTTCAGTGATCCACAGTCAGGACGAGTCTGATGATTGCATCAACCCTCCAAGAGAGGTGTGGGAGCCAAACCACAGTCGCTCTGAAGAACGACCAGAGTCTCTGAAAGGTTATCCTCAAACAAGCCCGCTTTCTGGCCCAAAAGTGAACAGAATTTGTCTCCTGGCTAAAGGTTGCCAGTTCAATTACCCAAACAGACCAGATTAAATGTGGAAAAAATAGGTATTGGGATTTCTCTCACTGCTGTTTCAAAAGCTTCCTCAGGGTGAACATAGGTTAAAAATCCACCTTTTCCCTTAAATTTTGAGAGGAACCAGTCCCGTGCCGTAAAATTGTAATAATCTTTTGTGTTAATGACTTCAGAAAGAAGTTCAACATTTATGGGACACGAAGCAGGAGCCTCTCCCGGACTCTAATATAATGTTAAAGGGGATGCTGAATGACGTTAAACAGGACTCAGGAGACAGGGGTAAATCATTATTAGAAGGGAAACCCCTTCGCTTTTATCTGCTAACAGATGACAACTCCTCTGCTCCCTCTGACCTCAAAGCACACATTATCGTTAACAAGGTCAGCTGGGGTGCCTTTTACAGAGCCAACACAACAGCTAGCAGTGATCATAAAGTGTCTTTGTCACAGGTAATATGCGTGCTAGAGAATTGAATAAAAAACAATGCACATGATGCCAATAAATACGATTTATTTGATTGTTTTTATCAAGAGATGGTAATGCACAGTTCTACAGTTCCAGTAAATCATGTTACATTTATTTGAAGCTGTTCAGGAGACATGAGGATGTCATTCCAGGGATAAATACTTCACAACATAACGTATTCAACCCAGCCACATATTGCAAATGATGACAATTCTGACAAACGGTTGAATCATTTTGTTGTCAATCGTTTAATTTCCTGCGTGAGTGAATTTGCCCTACAGTTTGTACAAGGCAGGAGGCCAGCCACAGAGGCTAGCATAGATTCAACACGGATTTAACAGTGTTTCACCTCATAAGCCTTTTTCAGCTTAATCTCCCTCTGAGGATGTACATCCAGGCCCATATTCCTGTCAGTATGAAAACAGCACTATAAGAGGTGCTGGAGGGTTACTGGGCCATTCGTGTTCTTGCTTATCTATTCGCCGGAGGAAAAAAGAGCGTATCAGTTGAGCAGTTTATTTCCGCTTGTTGTTGAAACAGTTGTATGTGAAAGAGAGCTCTTAGTAAACTAAGTGGGCGATTTTACTAAACTGTGGGACTAGAGGTAGAAATAGTACAGATGTCTGCATGCACTACCCACATTCTCGATACAGTATTCATGAAGAAAGACGAAAAAAAAAAGAAACAAAAACTCCCACAAGTTCTTTAGCAGACAGAGCTAATAGTGCAGCTCTGACATCATCTTTTTATTGGCTCAGGAGCCTTTACTCCACAGCGGATTGACCTCCACATGTACAAGATGCCAGAGGGAACTGGTGTCTCCACATGAGGCATACATTCAATTTAATTAATCTACGACAAACCTCATGGGCTATGATTGTGACAGATGCACAGTCACCTATTTATACAGTCTTTATTATCGATTCAGCGCTCTGATACATCACATCATGAAGACAAAATCCCTGAAAGAATGCATTGGACTTGTTGCGTGCTGTAATTCTCCAGATAAGGAGCCGTTTGCTCTCTGAGTCTGATGAAACAATTTAGCTGATGGAAACACCCCCATGTGGAGAGGGATCTCAGTGGTGGGCCCCATTGTATAGCTCTTTATCAGCCTTTAAGAGGCTTTCATTGTGATTTACACATTAATGAGCATTTATCTGTTTGCTCACGCTACCACTTCAGCTCGGTTCCTTCAGTGTTTCAGACTGATCTTAGCAATAAACACGTGAAAGTTTCAGTTCTCTGCTCTAAAGCCTCTTTCACACATGTGACTGTGCATGTAAGTACGCGTGTGTGTGAGTGTCTTCACACACCTGGTGCAGGCCAGCTCTCTGGCCCTGAGCCCAGATCGATGAATGGTAGCTGGTGAATTGAAAGGTGATAGCCAGAGGTGATTGGCTACCCACAGTCCTGTCCAAGCCTCTGCTTTGTTGTGTGTGTGTGTGTGTGTGTGTGTGTGTGTGTGTGTGTGTGTGTGTGTGTGTGTGTGTGTGTGTGTGTGTGCGCGTGTGTGTATGTGCGTGTGTGTGTGTGTCTGTGCTTGTGTAAAGCACAAAATGGAGTGAAGCAGTGGGTGACAAGGACTTTAACCTGTGTCACTGGCCCCTGACGGCCTGAGCAGCTGCCTTGGATAACTGCTGGATACAAACCTGGTGCAATTAAAGCCTGCTACTAAGTGTTTTTACTCAAATTTGTAGGGGGGAAAAAACCAAATACAATATGAAAATGAGACAAAAAACCTCTGCAGTGGACACATCAGTCCATCTTTTTTTCCCCAAAGTATTCAAAATCTAATTATTGTTTTGCTCATGTCTCCTAAAAAGCACCTGAGAAACCCAACGAAAACCATAATTAGTGTTTGCGTACCGTCAGACATCCCATGAGACTTTGCTCGAAAGGTCGCTGGAAGGCCCGGGGATCTCCACACCAGTCGAGCAGCTCTGTAGCTGCTGAGTGGAAGTTGGCCGGGTTCTGTAAGTGCTGTGCAAACAGAGAAAGGAGGCTGTCATTAGAAACAATGAGAAATAATGAGCATCATTTTTTTTTTTCAGATTAAGTACAAATTGGAAAAACACTGAAACCAAATCGTTTTTGCAGCCTTGCGCTGTCTCTCTTCAAACTGCCTTGATTTAATGTCTTGTGTTTCTGCACAACCCTGTGAGGACCTTGACTCCGTCAAGTATACGCCCACTCAGGGCTCTGCTACATTGTGGGAAGAAGATCACACCCATATCAACAATGATGCCAGTGTTTCCTGGTAATCTCTCTTGGCAACACCCAGCCCTCACCCCCATGACCCACACAGCAACCAAATCTTTCTCTCCAATCCTCTTGCCTGTTTTCAGAACGTAACAGAGCCTCAGCACCAGACGTCCACTGGCTGGCTTGGCTGTTCACAAAGAAAACAACCTCGGTCCTGGCAACTATGTGTGCAGACTCAATACGCGCCGTTGGTGTGTTGTCTAATCTTTCAGTCTCTGTCTGTCTCTCTCGCTTGTTCACTGAGGCCTGAAACAGTTGAGTCTTTTCTTCCCAGTGTCTGAAGGCTACTCAGGCTGGCAGGACACAATAAGCGGTTTTAAAATTGGGCTCCCTTTCTTCACGGCTCAGGAGGTTAATAGCTCTGAAATGGCGCAGAGCTGCAGCTTGTTCAGTCGGCGAGATTGAGCCCACTTGAAAGCATTTATTATTCTCATCTGGAGCTGAAGCGTTTTGTTTTGTGTGTCTTGCAGAGAAGGTAGAACTATTGTCTTTAGGGGGCAGCAGAGGTGAGCGTTTTTGAAAGGGCAGCTTTTTGGCTGTGTTTGACAAAAGGGCTCTTCGGTGCGAATGAGGCCTAACATGTCACATAGTACCCGCCTGCGGAGAAAATCTCAGAGCGCTTCCAATGATATCATGAGCTTCAAGAGAGGCCTTGAGTGACTCATCTTTTTTGATGTGAAGATTGGCCATTTTAGAGTTGGCTGTGGCCTCTCACAGGGGTTTGACTGATGAGGACGAGAAGCACGGACAGTGAGAGAAAGTGAGAGATGCTCTTGTTGAGTGAGGGGGAGGAGAAGAGCCTGTTCTAGATGAGTGATATAATCTGGCATTATTGCTGCTTGATGGGAGGCGTATCAGCCGCCAGCGCGAGTGGAATCAGAACTAGCACAGCAGGGGCTGTCTGTCTAGATCTGAACTCACAGCTCCTCCTGCTGCAGTGCTCGCCACCAACTCTGGCTGACAACCTCGACTCTAGTGCGAGGGGGAGGACAGCAGAGTGAAATAGCTCCACTGAGTTTTGGGAGGAGGATATGGGGCCTGAGCTGTTCTTGTTATTGTTGCTGTTCAGGGTTAGATGAGGACATGAATGGGGAGGTTTGAGAGGGGGGGGGCAGTGATGGGGTTTCAGCAGACAAAGAGCCAGACGTTTGACAGATTGTCCTCTGCGAGATGATGGACTGACTTACCCCTTTGCAGGACAGCTGAGGACCAGGCTGTTCAGTGTCTACCTGGCTGCATGAAAAACATCATAACACCTGGCTCTCTGCCAGCAGCTTTCCCCAAGCCAAAACAACACCCGGAAGCAGAGCCGCCACAAGCTCACAGACTAACTCAGTGCCTTTGAAGTCTGGGTTACTACTAGTTCTATTAGAGCCAGAGTTGAGGAGTATATAAACCGAACTACAATTACTGCATTTATTAAGCTAGATGTGTCAACTCGTGCTATTTAGGGCTTATCATTGACGCCTGAAAAAATAAATGTGGAGGCTTTGTGAAGTGAGTAGTGTCAATTCCACCAATTTTTACTCATTTCAAGAAAAGCTGACATTTTGGAAATTAGGCTTTTGCAAGATTTTGATGTCAAGCGCATTGCTAAATGCAAAGTAGCAAAAAAAACTGCAGCAATAACAGCCTGTTTATATAAAGGTTCTTATAGTGGGTGTTCAGGAGTTCAGGTGGGGATGGGACTGCGGTGGAGTGGGGGGGGGGTTAACAGCAGGCACAGAGAAAAAGAATATGTTACCTCATAATCGCAAGCTCAAAGCCTTATCATTCACTGATTCACTGTAAGGCATGGTGTCATATGGATGTTGGGAGATATAAAGGATCACTCCCACATAGCATAAACAAATAAGCCCACAGCCTGCCAGCCAGCCAGCGAGTTCTTGTAGACTATTAATCACAGGCAGAGGCGGTAGCCCTAGGTTATGTCTGTCTGTCTGACTGTGTCTTTCTGTCTGTATCTGTCTACGAGGAGTCTCCTGAAAGCTGGCAGTCAAGGAAGCATTTAAGCTAAACCACAACAAGGGCCGGTATACGTCAAGAGTCAGGAACGTGATGTAAAGGAGCACATGACCAGGTCGGGGGAGGGTTTAGAGTCTGTTATGTTGCTAGCCTCTTTGAAGTCTCTTCTTGAGTTCACTGCCAGATTTGCCTCTCTCTCTCTCTCTCTCTATGACCCTGTGCAACATGATCTGTGTGACTGGAGCTAATGGCCAGAAAAACTGATGCCCATATAAGGTGCTGAGAGGAGAAAGAGTGTAGGAAAGGAGAGGAAATGCAGATTCTTGTGTCTTTGCCTCTAAAATCCATGCCTGCATAGTTCTGAAAGAAGTTAAAAGAAGACTAACAGGCTGCTACACACGGGTGTTTATACACACCTGTTTGATGCACTGCAGCCTGTCATTGGTCTGCTGGATGTGCCGGTCCATGGATGGTAACGTGTTCATCTTGATGTTTCTACCGAGACGCCATTAAAGCTTCTTTACTCTGTAAAAGAAGAGGAGGAGGACAGGTACATCTGTTAGGAACATGTTTTTGTCAGGTCGCCCATGTGAAGAGTTTATAAGTTCAAACAGCATTTTATCCGCTTCTCAACAAATTCTCAAACAGGGAAGCCAGTTTTTTTGGCAAATGCATGAAACTGAATTGTTCCACAGCAGCACCGTTAACGACAAACAGAAACATGATGAAACTGGAAGAACTGATTTATGTTACCTATGTGAGAAAAATCTGACACTAGCTGCAACTGAGAAAGACATCCAAGTGTTATCTCTCTTTGAAAGAAGCACACCTCACAGTCAAGGTTATCAGTGTGGCATAGACGACTAATTTATGTCCACATCTAACAGCAGATAAGGTTCAGCTGCACGGCGTCTCTTTTTCTGCGTACATCTTGTTCTGATCCAACAGTAGGCACAAACAACAAGAACAATTTCAGCCCCATGCTCACTACTCTGACCATCTAGGAAAAATGGGCTGAGGCTGGATTAATAGGTATCGTGCTGGCTGGCCAGCGAGGCCTCCGTTCCTCACCATCCCTCTGTGTTTATCTCCATCAGTGCTGGTCCGCCTCACATTCCTCCACACAAAAGGCGAACTGAGAAACCACAGGTGGGGGGTTGCAGGGCTCTAGAAAGCTGCTCAGTACTGATAAAGGGTCCCCCAAGATCCCCTGCTGTGACAAACAGAGCGAGAGAACGAATACGATATAAGCATAGTGCTCAGCCAAGGAGTTTTCATGTGTAATGCTCAGTCTGGTGGGCTTATCTTAGAAAGAGTATTGCAAGTATGCACACTCTTTTTCTGCATCATTCTCTCTTACACACATGCACACACACATGCAAGAGCATGTAAACACAAAAGCTTGAATTCTTCACTTTGATTAAGCGTAAAAGTGAAACTTCAAAGGAGCACCTTGAGAATAAGAGTGTATTACTAATCCTCTGAGCTTAAGCATTACCAAAGTAGAATTACCTGGAGTGCACTTGCAAAACGTCTTAAACATCAGCGGATACCTTGCCGGCATGAGTAAGGGGGAATTCTGGAGGAAATGTGGTCAAACAGTGGGCAGCCAAATGTCTGTTGTCAGGTTACATGGACATGATGCTGCAGTGGTTGCTGACTGTCTGTGAAAAGTCCCTACAAAACAGCTAACTTTACATGGAGGGCACAAAGCCACTCTGACCACACAAAACCATAACTTTGGGTGGCCTAATTCTGCTGTGCTGTGTCTCCCAGAATCCAGCAGATGTCTCCCTCTCCTGCTGCTAACCAGCATGTCTCTTTCACACACTACACCCCTCAGCAAGTGGTCCAGAGAGGGCTCCTTTAAGCCCTGACAAGTGCTACAAATCCCCTTCAGCAGCCAGGCAGCTCCATGGACCGCTAACAGGGCACACTCCAGCCCAGCGCTGGCCGTCTGACCTTGTGGCTATTGATTAACTGTTTCTCCTCCAGCTCCCCTTCCCACAGCTAAGACCCAAGGAGGGAGGAGGAGGGTTGAGAAATCTGCCTCTTTTACCCAATAATCTCTTCTTTTTTTCCACCTCCTTCCCTCTGTTGTGCTTTCACAAGGTCCAACACACACACACACACACACACACACACACACACACCACCTCCTCCTCCCACAAACGGGCAGTGCTTTTGTTAGTTGATGAAAAGACAGGCCCTCAGGTTCTGAAAAAGGGAAATGAGTGAGGTGGAAATGCGACTGGCCGGCCTGGCTGTGTTCAGTCGGTGCCGCTGTAACTGAGATAAGAAGTCAGTCCACCTGACTGACTGACAGACACTTCAGCACCACAGCCCCTGTTCAGGGGGAAAATGGGTTGCATAACACATGATGCTTCAGTGGAAACATGGCAGAAGTCCTCCTCCTGCCCTACATCCTCATCCCTCCCTGTTTACTTTCAAAATAAAACAGTAATCTGTCAACTCATCATAGGAATGGAAACAACAGACTCTTTTAGATTTTTTTGGCTACTGCTGTCGTTCTTTGAGCATGCACATGCTGAAGACAGGGCCCGCTTAATCTTTATTGTCTTCCAAACATCTTAATCAGCTCCACTCAGCACTGCTTACCAGAGGTGCAAAGCAAAGGATTACACATCCAATTATGCTGTACATATTACAACCTCCCTTTAAACAGCAGTGGGAGGAAGCTGCAATGAATCAGAGCAGAGTAACAAACCACAAATAATACTAACACCTGAGGAAGCTTCTGTTTCTTTTTCTCACTGTCTGAAGCACAAGACACACACACACACACACACACACACACTCTCACGTTTTGTTTCCCTTTTCTCTCTTCCCTGGGCAACACAAGCTGGGGGAAGTGGGGCAAGAAATAAGTGCTCAGAAACAAAAGCAGAGTAATATGAAAAGCACTGGAGTATGGCAGGAAGGGGTGCAAGAAGGGCCAGACTCAGGAGGGAAAAAGAGATACAGAGAAAGAGAAAGATTGTTGAAATTATCTCTTCATCATTAGCAGCACCTCCCCACACACACACACTCATTCATGTGCGCACACACACGTAGCGTATGATCACTCATAGCATGAGTGATTTCTCATTTCAGACAAATGACTACCACCTTTGTCAAGTGCTGCTTGCTTTATAAATGTGATTAGTCACATGGAAGTGGCTACACAGAAGCTCATACTGCAGCCCGATACTGTGCATTGGGCAATATGGTTGGAATCACTGACAAGATATTAGTATGGGTAACTTCCAACATCAAGATATATATATTATCAAGACAAATCATATATGTACAAAACCACCTATAATATTGTCAGACAATTCTTATCAATCTAATTGAATTCTAAATAGAGGGTATGCGCATGACATCACAGAACGTAGTTAAGCTCACTAAGTGGCAGAAAGACGAGCAGAAGTGTTAGCTTGAATCAGCTAAAACACAAACAACACATCTAAAATGGGAAAGAGCTGGAACGCTGGTTCTTTGGTAAGCAGTAAGGATCACTGTTGAGTCCGTCTGCCTTTAATTTGAGCAAATAATCACTTGTTTTACTTCCGGTTTGCTAAAAGCAGCCATGGTAAACAGATGTTTTGCCACTCAGTCCAGTGTGCTCCAGAAGGGGAAGTGACATCAATGCATACCCTCTATACTTAATTTGTCCCTTTCACATAATTCATTTACAGGCATAAAACATATACAAATACATCTAAAAATACAAATCTGACAATGTTAAAGTAGAGATGAAATACACAAGGGTTATGGGCAATGGCCAATCCACAGCTGGCCAACAATATAAAAAACCAAGAAGGCACAAAAAGTGCATCTATCAATCTATACACAAGGCTGGCTTCCGGCGTCGCCAGCAGACATTCGAATAACTGATATCCAGGCCAAGACTTCCTCTTCTGTGTGACGGTCACTGTCTACAGTTCAATTAGCAATCCCGGAACCCACCAGCGATCGTCTGATGACAATCTGAATGGAGCACTGCAGCCTGGATCTTGACAGCATCAGCTTAAAGTAGTCACAGAGGACATGTTGAGAATCGTATATATGTATTTTTTAATTTTTTAAGGATGTGTACATTTTTAAGGTTATGCTGCAGTTTGAATGGGGTTCACAGGCCCTGGAGGGTTTCATGCAATACTGTGGAAAATAGCATATTTTGGTGGTGTTTTAATTCTTAATCTTCTTATCCTCAGTCTATCATATATGTAAAGTGTAGAGGGCAACTGGTGAAGTCTGGCCACACATTATGTTCATTATACAGCAATGGTCTGACAAAGGAGAACATAGCTGTAACTCCTGTTCTCTAGGCACAATAGGGGGTCTTCTCTCCTGCTCCTCATCTTGAGTTATATGGCCAGAGCTTTTCTTTCTCTCACTACTATGTGCCTTTTGCTTCCCTTTTCTATAGCCCTCAGACATCATTAGAGCCACCCAGCATGCGACTCCTTTCCACCACCTTCAATTTTCCGTTCTATCATTTTCCTCTCCCCCGTCCCTCATATCTCAACCCTCCTGCCACTCTTCCTCCCTCCCTCCCTCCTCCTTCTCCTTCCTGGGGCCCCGTGCGGGAGCTGCCATAACAGGAGGTGGAATGGATTCATTTGCTCTAATGTGGTTTGGGCTGCAGCGTGGCACGGCACTGAGCGACACTTTCTCCCAGTGCACAGAGCATCTCTCCCTCTCTTTCTCTCTTTCTGTCTGCAGTTCATGTGTTTTCAAACAGGCCAATCAACACCACTCAGCTGTGCTGGCCGCTCTCTCCCTCCCACAATCTCTGCTCTCAGTGTGTCTGTAAAAAGCCACCAGCCCTTTCTCACACACACTATTATCTCTAGTGGCAAACTCCCATAGCCAGACAGTCCCTCTTTGCTCTTATTACCTTTATTTTCTCTGGTCCCCACCACTCTGTCCTCAGCTACCACTTCTTCATTTTCTTCTTCCAACATCATATGTCTGTCTTTCTGCCTTGTTTTGTTCTTTGCATTATTTTGCTAATCCTCGCCTCCACTAATCTCCCCCTCTCCTTTTCCCTCCCAGCAAAGCCAACTACTGGTCATATCGTTCCCTCCGGCCTTTTTAAAACTCAACCCTCTCCACAGCATCAAAACCACCAGCCTCTATAAAAATTGGAAATGACTTGCTCCCAGGGGAGGAAAATATAAACTCTAAATGTTGCTGTTTGTTTAATGTGACAACCACAGTAGCACCGGGCAGCTATGTGACACACAACACTACAATGCAAACAGCTGTGATGTGGGGATATGCGAGCTGCTCTGTTCCTGTCTATAAATATGGAGCTTCAGTTGTGGAGTATTGCAGGTATGTGACACCAGATACCCCCGGGAGCAGCCGATTATTTCACCACACAATATGTGAGATCATAACGGTGCACCATGTACTAAGTAAGCACATGGGTACCTTCTCTTTGAGCAAATACTACACATTTGGGTTTCAATTTGGGATTGGCAACATCCTAAGACTTCAGTATTACAATATTT